ACCCTAGTCATGGGTTCTCACAACGAATGTCTCCTTTTCAGGCCCGGCTGTGACTCCAACAGCCATGGACTTGGACGACGCTCAATGCCCTTTGCCCTTTTCTCGACCTGATGAGAAACATAATGGGAGCTTAAGTTTCCGTCGACACAGCGCCAGCAGTGGTCGAGGCAGCAGTGAAGATAGCGCCACCGGCAGCGGAAGTTTCACCGGCATTTCCTGTTCTTATGACCCTCAGAATCAACTGCCCTCTGGTCTCAGCAACCTGCGGATAGATGGGGAGGGGCCACCTACGAATATCACTCAGATTGCCTACGCGCCACCACCACAACAACAATACGGTCACCACCGCTTTCCGCAGGTTTCGGCCAAGGGTGTTATCCCCGGAATGATGACGCCCCAAGTCCCTTCCTCTAAACCTCACAATACTTTTACAAAGATCGGCCCAAGTGACCGTCGATTCGATGAGCAGCACATGGTAATCACTTCTTACAATCTCACTTCCTCTACATGCCTTATTCACAGTTCTTTAAACTTCTGACTGTGATTTCATCCGAAAAACGTTTACATATTGCCACTGAAACTCTAGGCCAGTTTCCTTAAACTCTGCTCAGCTGAATATATCATTTTCTGACTGACTCGCAAACCTACGCCTTAATTTAGTCGACTTGCCAAAGTTACTTTTTGTCGACTCTACTGCAAATTAAGCGTCATTTTCAACCTGACTTTGTAGACATTCGACTGCAGTTTTGGGAGTCGGTCGCTCACCTATCATCTCAGAGGTCTGATCAAAACGGGTATAAGCAGCGCGTATCCCTGTTCTTTTTTCTGTGCGTGGTATTGAATTTCCTAGTGCTATCACTCATGACTTCAAATAAGTACGATATTACTAGTGTGTTGGAGTGGGAAAACTCAAATTGACTATAAATGGCTGAAGTTATTTATTAACGTTTCCAGTCCCCTCATTGTCGACGTAATTCTTTGCCTGTTGCTCTATTATCGGGACTTTTAAAATGCCACTCAAGAGAATGGACTTTTCGAGCAGTTGCTTTATGCACGTCTTTTGTACTGCCATTCATTTCGGACATTCACAAACTTTCCATTGACAAAAATTGATAATAAGTTAAAAGAACAGTGTGCTACGTTGGTACATCACTCGCTTTCATAATAACTCGTGGTGGCTGCTGTCAGACGCGGTAGATTTTAACATGCGAAAAGACCTCGTTTCAATGAATAATGAGCCGAATGATGCAAAATTTGTCAGAAAAGTCTGTTTAAGTCGTAGCACGTGGAGACGGAACCAGACAATGCTAGGGGCTAGCTTATTTTGCGCCATTTTAATAAATGCACTTCATGTCAAACCATTAGAGACGTTTCGTATGAGAATTAATGGATTCCAAACTTAAAGTATTTTCGGTTACAGAGTTCGTCGTCTGAATTTATCTGAAGTTGGACATTTGGCAAATTTTTCATACGCCTCTAGGACTCTTTAGCTATGGACATGGGGGATGGTGATTATTGTATGGACAAGGCGTACAATTAGTCTGCGTTTGCGCCTCACGTTTGGGTTGGGTTAGGATGAGTTGACGACTGCCTTTGTCGTTGTCAATATTCCTTTGATAGTTTTTTTGCTACTCAGTTTTCACTTGTGAAGTGGCCTTCGTAGATTTGGGTCTTCTATTCAACACAACTTCTTAGTTATTAATATGGCCTTTGAGCATCTTGGTCTGTTTACTCTCAAATGGACTTGTACAGTGTTTTTTCCTCTCATTGCTCCCTTGTGAGGTGGTATTTGTAGAATTAGGTCTTCTGTTCCACATAACATACTTCATTATTAATATTGCATTTGAGCGTCCCAGTCTGTCTACTATCAAACGCGGGGGTAGAGATCCATATAACACCACCAGGTATGACCTACAATTGCTATCGGCGGCGCTTATGCATCGTCTCATTTTCTCTCTCTCCCTCTTGCTTCCCACGCTCAAAACTTTCTTTCGAATCCTCGCCGTAACTGGAATGATGCCGAAGAACGTGGCTGCAACCAGAGGTTTGTGACTGTTAGGGAGTGAGATAAAACCCGCAGGACTCAACTCAAGCTTTTCATCGAGTTTTTGTGGGAATGCACTTTTTACCCTTTACACGTTCAGAGAATTGAAGTCAACAAGTCTTTAGCGTGCATTTGTTTTGCAAGTTAACCCAAAAGGCCATTCTAAGATGGTAAGACAGAATTAAGACTGCTGCGTTTACGCAGACCGGACTCCACACAGTTTATCAAGACATATAAGGAAATCTTGGATCGTCGGTATTCGGTCTTTGTCGCTTCAGAAGAGAATGTGTTGAGCTTTCCTGATCTGCCGCCGCAAATCGTCACGCGTGGAGATGTACAATCTATGACATAATTGAGGTTGGCTGGATCAGGCATGCTTACAGCCGTATCACATACAGATACAAATATAATCGGAAGAGTCAACGGTCTCAGTGGGGTCAGTTATTTGCTGGA